ACGTGCCCAGGTTGCAGGCTCAATCCCCAGTAGGGGGCGTGCAGGAGGCAGCCGATCAATGATTCTCTCTCATCATTGATGTTTCTCTCTCTCTCCCTCTCCCTTCCTCTCTGAAATAAATAGAAATATATATTTTAAAAAAGAATGTTTTATTTTGCACTGTAGTTTCCATCTAATTTAACTACATGTAACTGCTATTGAGTGTACATTGACTGTTTCTTTCTCTTTCCAAAAGGAAAAATGCATTAATAAGACACAAAAGCATTGCAGAGGTCTCACAGAATCGTCGACAAATTGAAATCCCCAAAGTGTCCCAGAAACCCGCGAGAAACGTAAGTCATTTCCCAGAGACAGGAAATGGCGCCAGAGACCTAGTCCCTCTGCGTGAGCCACGGGAGAGCAGAATGAAGGGCGGTGTCTGCGGTGGGGAGTGGACGTGGCGCTCACAGAAGTCAAATCAGATGTTTGTTGTTGTTTTAATTCTCACTTGAGGCTATTTTTCCATCGATTTTTAGAGAGAATGGAAGAGACAGGGAAAGACAGAAATATTGATGTGAGAGAAACACACATGGATTGGTTGCCTAATAGGTTACAGATCATTGATACATGTTGAGGAATAAGGACTTCTATCAGCAGGGCAGTGACTAATGGTAGGCATAATGGGATAGAATTGAAAATATGGCACTTGGAAAAGTTACAGGAGATGTTCTAACTCATAGCACTTTAGAAATTAGAAATGCTTACTTGTGCTTATTGGTCTCTACTTTGGGGACCCATCAAGATGCAAAGGTGGCCCTAGCTGGTTTGGCTCAGTGGTTAGATTGTCGGCCTGCACACTGAAGGGTCCCAGGTTTCCTTGTAGGAGATGAGCTTAGGGTTTCAGCTTGCTTTTCAAGTTTTCCTTTGATGCTTTTTCATTGTTTATAACTAGTTGAATTTATAATACTTACTTTTGGAAATTCTGGGATTGACTTGATTTGCTTTAAGTTCTGTCCAGTACCAAGATCACTGACCTTTATCTAAAGAATGTTTTAGCCCTAGCCGGTTTGATTCAGTAGATAGAGCGGTGGCCTGTGGACTGAAGGGTCCTGGGTTGGATTCTGGTCAAGGGCACGTGCCCAGGTTGCAGGCTCAAAGAATGAAGGGCGGTGTCTGCGGTGGGGAGTGGACGTGGCGCTCACAGAAGTCAAATCAGATGTTTGTTGTTGTTTTAATTCTCACTTGAGGCTATTTTTCCATCGATTTTTAGAGAGAATGGAAGAGACAGGGAAAGACAGAAATATTGATGTGAGAGAAACACACATGGATTGGTTGCCTCCTACACTCGCCCTAATCAGGGCCCGGGAGGAGCCCTTGACTGGACTCGAACCCCGGACCCTTCAGTCCGCATGCCGATACTCTATCCACTGAGCCAAACAGCCTAGGGCGAGATGTTTTTATGAATGTGTGTGCAACTATAATCCACGGACTAAAGAAATATACATGTGTTACATATTAACCCTTTTACCCAAAAGTGTGACAGAGGTAATGTAAATAAAACAGCAAGCCCAAGTTAGGAAGGAATGAGTTCATTTAAAATCTTTAATGTAGATGAGAATTCTACTAAATACTGACTGACATAAGCAAAGAGGTCATTGAACAATGGTGTGCAAGCATAACGGGAATCTGGCTGCGTGCCAATATGTATGTTTTATTTCCATAAGAAGTTAAAGAAATGTGGGGTGGGTGGCTGGTGCTGTTGTCCGATGGTAACTTGGTTGTGGCCGGTATAAGGACTTGAGGTTTGTTGGCGGCAGAGAGAAAGAAACCCAGGTGGAGTCTGTTTACCGAGTAGAATGAATGCCTTGCTAAGAATTCGGTGAAACTTGTGAACTGCACAGATTATTGAGAAGCGTTAAAAGTCTATGAGAACTTGCCCTGGCCGGTTTGGCTCAGTGGATAGAGCGTTAGCCTGCGTACCGAAGAGTCCCGGATTCAATTCTGGACAAGGGCACCGGTCTGGGTTTCAGGCTTGGTCCAATGTGCAGGAGGCAGCCAATCAATGATTACCTCTTGTCATTGATGTTTCTCTCTCTCTCTCCTTCTCCTTTCCTCTCTGAAATCAATAAAAATATATTTTTTAAAAAGTGTATGAGAACTAGCTTTAGAAGCGCTAATCATTACATTGGTGGTTTGCTGTCTGTTTATCGAGATTTGTAACTGTCCTTTGGAATCTGGAGTGGGATTTCTGTTAAAGAGTTAGTGTCTTCACTTTTTGTCCTTACTCGAGGATATTTTTTCCATTGATTCCCTCCTGCCCCACCATGCAAAAGCAAAGAGTCTTTATTCGAGCTAGCTCGGCTCCCTGACCACACTCAACGACGCAGCGGCAAGCGGCAGAGAGAGAGCTAGCTCTGTGTGGAGAGGGGTTTTATAGGGGGGTTGGAGTAAGGGGAGGAGAGAGGACTGTGGGCCCTTCTGATTGGCTGGGGCTTTGTTTTTTTTTTAAAGAGAGACTAGAAGGCGGGGGAGAGAGACATACACATCCATTGATTGCCTCCCATACTTGCAGACCGGGGTGGGATGAACCTGCAACCAAGTATGTGCCCTTAACCAGGAATCAAACTCTCGACCCTTTGGTCCACAGGCCAACATTCTGACCATTGAGAGAAACTGGCCAGGGCTGTGCTCGCTTTCTCAGTAGACCTTACTGTGTGAATAGGATGCAAATCTGATGTATCTCGGCGTCCTGATTGGAGAGGGGGAAATCCCAAAGTGGACGGCCTGGAGGTGTCAGGCCGCCCTCAATAGACCTGAGGATGATTTGTCGTCATTCGTCACTGTGTGTAACTGGTCCTTCGAAGCTGGTGCTCATGGGACCGAAACTTCATTTCAGACCAGTCAGGAAAGCTTACTCCTTTAAAACTAGACACTGAGATTGACTGTTTTCTGTTCTGCATTTTGCCTTTTTCCATTGTGGACCTCTTTCTGTGTTAGAATATCCAGGTCTTCCTTCCTTCTCTATTCTTACAGACCTTCCTAATTCTGTTAATATCTGCATTGGATGGATGAGCCATCATTGATTTGTTTCCCCCTTTATGGATAGTTAGGGAGTTTCTTATTTTGTATTATTATTGCAGCCTTCAGTGTCCTTGGATCATGTATCTATTTTTGTGTGTTTTGCAACCATTTCTGTTATGGATTCCCGTAAGGAGAACTGTCAGAGTCAAAGGGTTCCATGTGGAATTTTATTCCTTTATTTTTAAATGCATATCTGTTTTCTTACTGGGTCTTCTCATCTTTCAGGAGAACTCTCGCCCCACTCTCCCGCAGCCCTCACTCCCAGTGAAAGATCCAGTACAAGGTATGTTCTGTTCTCTCGGCACCTGCTCATTGACTAGAAGGACACATTTATTCACTTGCATGTATTTAAGCAGCTGCCTAGTTATGGGCAGTTGTTGGTTAGTGACATATGTCCAGATAACATGTACTAGGAGAATGAGGTTTTTCAGGCGGTCTCAAAATGCTGCACTCTGCAAAATAACTGGCCTGAAATCTTTTTTTTTTTTTTTTGGTAAAGCATTTCTTTTTAAAAATATATATATTTTTATTGATTTCAGAGGAGAAAGGAGAGATAGAAACATCAGTGATGAGAGAGAATCATGAATCATTTGCCTCCTGCACACCCCACACAGGAGATGAGCCCACCACCTGGGAATCGAATCGTGACTTCCTGGGTCATAGGCTAGATAACGTGCCCTCGTACCCAGGAGACATGGGACTGAGGAGTCTCGTGCCATTTCAACAATGAATATTAACAGAAGTTGTACATTACATTGTAAAAGTAATGCTAATCTACACTAATAAAAGAGAAAAATGGTAATTGGCGTACGACGCTACCCTTTCCATTGGCTAATCAGGGCTATATGCAAATTAACTGCCAACTCAGATGGCAGTTAACT